CGGGTTATTTGGGATCAGATGCCGGCGAACCCGGGGGGAAAAGCGGCGGGAATTTTGGAAATGCTCGGCTGGGTTGGGTCTTGAGGCGCAGGGGTGGAGTTTTGTGGGGTTTTGGAGGGGGAGGGACGAGCTCGGTGCTGCTGTGGCAGGAAATGAGAGCTGATAGCCCAAAACCACCAAAAGGAGCCCCAGGTGCTTCCTCACATCCGCCAGATGCGGGGGTTCCACGGCAGGGATGGATTGAATCCCAGCCGGGGTTGGATTTCTGGATTTTTGGGAATAACCGAGCTTCTCTCCCCACGCCACAGCAGAAAATCCCCACAAAAAAATGAGGATTTTGGAGGATCAAAGGCTCAAAAAGCTGAAAACTCCGCCCTAAAAACATAAAAACATAGAGGTTCCACAGGCAGGGATGGATTGAATTCCTGCTCCAGCCTGAGATTCCTGCTGGGATTGGATTTCTGGATTTATGGGCAGGTGGGCACCACAAAACGTCTCTCCCCATGTCAAGCAGCAAAAAAACCCAAAAAACCCAAAAAACCCACAAAATTCAGAGTTTTGAGGCCCAAAATATCAAAAACAGCCCCAAAATTCTCTTTGGGGTCAGGGACAGGGAAGTCCCACAGCCCCCTAAATTGTCCTCAGGGTCAACCCCAAATTCTCCTCAAGGTGAGGGAGGTCCAACAGCCCCCCAGACTCTCTTTGGGGTCAGGGAAGTGCCACAGCCCCCAAATTTTCCTGGGGATCACCCCCAAACTCTCTTTGGGGTCATCCCGATCCCACAGCCCCCCCCCAAATTCTCTTTGGGGTCGGGGCCGTCCCACAGCCCCCCCAAACTCGGTTTGGGGTCAGGGCCGTCCCACAGCCCCCAAATTTTCCTGGGGATCACCCCCAAACGCTCTTTGGGGTCATCCCGATCCCACAGCCCCCAAATTCTCCCAGGGATCACCCTCAAACTCGGTTTGGGGTCAGGATTATCCCACATCCCCCCCCGAACTCTCTTTGGGGTCATCCCGATCCCACAGCCCCCCACAAACTCTCTTTGGGGTCAGGGTGGTCCCA